AAAAAAAAAAAAAAAAAAAGAAATACAAACTTTTAAAATAGGGTGAAAGACAGTTCCACTGTGTACCACAAAACTTTTTTTTTTTTTTGAGACAGAGTGTCACTATGTTGCCCTCGGTAAAGTGCTGTGGCATCACAGCTTACAGCAACCTCAAATTCTTGGGCTTAAGCGATTCTCTTGCCTCAGCCTCCCGAGTAGCTGGGAGTACAGGTGCCTACCACAATGCCTGACTATTTTGGTTGCAGCTGTCATTGTTGTTTAGCAGGCCCTGACTGGGCTTGAACCCACCAGCCTTGGTGTATGTGGCCGGGGCCCTAACCACTAAGCTATGGGCGCCAAGCCACCGAACTTTTTTAAATTAAACTTTTAATTTTTAAAGAATTGTATATTCCCATATAGTTGTAAGCAACAATACAGACTGTGTACCCGTTTGTAACATCTTGCAAAACAATACAGTACAGGAGAAATGAAAACTCTGATACATTGCTGGTGAAAATGTAAACTAGTACAACCAGAGTGGAAAACATTTTGGCATTTTCTCAAAATATCGAGCACAGAGTTACCATACAACCAGCAGTTCTACTCCGGGGTATATACCAGGAAGCACATGTCCATACAAACACTTACACATGAATGTCTACAGCAGCATTGTTCATAATAGCCAAAAAGTGGAAACCACCTAAAGGCCCATCAGCTGATGAATAGATAAATGAAATGTGGTATATCCACATAATGGAATGTTATTCACCAACAAAAAAGTGAAATGCTGATGGATGTTACAACATGGATTAATCTTGAAAACATTAAAAAGAAGCCAGTTACAAAAGACCACATATTGAATGGTTCTATTACATGAAATGTCCAGAAGAGGCAAATCTATAAAGACAGAAAGTGGCTGCATGGTTTGCGTAGGGATGAGTGTGGGGTTGGGCAGGTGATAGGAAGTAGCTGCTAATGGGTATGGGATTTCTCTTTGGGGTGATGAAAATGTTGCACAACTCTGAATACACTGAAAATCACTGAATTGTACACTTTAAATAGATGAGTGATGTTATGGTATCTGCTTTATATGTCAGAAAATATTTTAAACAATGAATCCAAATTGTCATTTCCTCCACATAATTAAGTCAGCTTGGCTTCACCCATGAAGGGAAAAATACAGTATGATCGTACAAACAGAATGTTGACATGGATATAGTTGAGATGCTGACCCCACTCCATCACCACAAAGACCTCCCATGTCACCCTTCTATAGCCACGGGCTGTTCTCCATTTCTGTACTTTTGTCATTTCAAGAGCGTAAGTAAGATGAGTAGAATCCTAACAGTATGTCACCTTTGGGGGTTGGCTTTTTTCACTCAACATAAAATTCCCTGGAGATTTATCCAGGTTGTCATCTATATCATAGTTATTCCTTTTTATTGCTGAGTAGTATTCTATTGTATAGATGTACCATTGAATGACATCTGTCTTTTCCAGTTTGGGCTATTACAAATGAAGCCATTATGAACATTTATGTATAGGATTTTGTGTAAATACAAGTTTTCATTCCCCTAGGATAAGTGCCCAAGACTGCAACTTATGTGTTAAAGTTGCACGTTTAGTTTTATCAGAAACTACCAATTGTTTTCCAGCATGGTAGGACCATTTTGCATTCCCACCAGCAATGCAGACGTGATCCCATTTCTCTGCATCCTCCCCAGGATTTGGTATTCTTATCATTTATATTTTATCCTAATGGGTCTGCATTGATATCTCATTGTGGTTTTAATTTGCATTTAAATGACTAATGATATTGAACATCTTTTCATGCATCTATCTCCATCTATATCTCTTTTTTGTTTAAATGTCCCTTCATTTGCCCACATTCTAACTGGATTGTTTCTTCTTTTTTCTGTAGAGTATTAGATTGTTCTTTTGTATTCCAAGGAGGCATAATGTGTTGGCTGTGTGGTTTCAAATATTTTCTTCTACTCCATAGCTTTTTTCATCCTCTTAGTCTTTCACAGAGCAAGTTCTTAATTTTCGTGAGGTCCAATTTCAGTTTCTCTTTTAATGCATTGTATTATTGGTGTCCAGTCTAACTTTTGCCTAGCTCCAGGTCCTGAAGATATTCTCCTAGTTTTGTTTTTATGTCTATGATCCAATGTGAACTAATTTTTGTATAAGATGCAAGACTTGGCTTGAGGTTTTTTCTGTCTTTTGAGGTCCAGTACTTCAACACTATTACTTTTGCTCCTGTATCAAAAATTGGTTTGGCATATTTGCAAAGGTCTATATGTGGGTTTCCTATTTGTTTCTATTGATCATTATGTCTATTTCTCTGCCAATACGATCACCATAGCTGTACAGTAATTAAGTGGGAGGAATTCCCACTTTATTCTTTTTCAAGATTGTTGTAGATATTCTAGAGTTTGTGCTTTTTCCCATACATTTTAGACTATTCTTGTCTAAGACCACAAAAACCTTAGGAATTTGCTTGTAATTGCATTAAACCAAAAGATTAACTGGGGGAGGGGGAGACTGACGTCTTTTCTGTGCTGGGTTTTCCAGGTCCTGAGCACAGATGTCTCTCCACTTACTAGCTGTTCTTTCATCCACATTTTGTGTTTTCAGCATTCAGATAGTGTACATGGTTTCTTTTTCTTTTTTTTTGAGGCAGAGCTTCAAGCTGTCCCCCTGGGTAGAGTGCTGTGGCATCACAGCTCACAGCAACCTCCCACTCCTGGGCTCAAGTGAGTCTCCTGCCTCCGCCTCCCAAGTAGCTGGGACCACAGGCGCCCGCCACAACACCCAGCTGTTTTTTGGTTGCAGCATCATTGTTGTTTGGCGGGCCCAGGCTGGATTCGAACCCACCACCTTGGGTGTATGTGGCTGGCGCCTTAGCCACTCGAGCCACAGGCGCTGAGCCTGTACATGGTTTCTTAAATAAAGTTTATACCTAACCATTAATTTTCTTTGCAATGATTGTAAATGGTATTATGTTTTTAATGTTCATTGTTAATATACGGAGGTGCTGTTGATTTTGTGGTTGATCTTGTATTCTGTGACCTTGCTAGTTACTGTTTTTGTAGATTCTTTGGGCTTTTATATGTAGATAACCATGTCACCATGGTTTTAATTTTTTCCCTTCCAATCTGTATTCCTTTTATTTCCTTTTCTTGCCTTATGGCAGGGACTAGAACTTCTAGAATGGTGTTTAATAAGATTAGTAAGAACAGGCATCCTTGTCTTGTTTCCAACCCCCTAAAGGGAAAACATTCTTTATGAAGTATGACAGAAGCTGTAGACGTTCACTTCTTATAATATTACTTTTGTTTTATTTTCCTCTCCCCACATCTCAGATTGGCGCAACTGAGATGACAAAGCAAAAAGAAAGGTTTCAGTGCTTCCTCCTTCAGGCAAGAGAGATAGGACCAAGTTCCTTTTAAGAGATTGGGGCCCTTCACAGCCCCAATCGGCGCTAGAGAGCTAATCCCATGAACAGGGCCCTGGCGTCCTGCAGCCGGCTGAGGGCCCCTGTAGATGGCGCCGACACCGGCTGGTAGGCGACAGAGCTTCTGTCCCCTTGCCCGCTGTGCCGCCTGCCAACCTGAGCTGGAGATAGGAGCATCTCAGATACCCAGATCCTGGGTGACTGGTGCGGCCAGGGCCAGACTCAGATTGTGTGAGCTTTCGGCAGCAGTTCCTCAAGGGAGAAGATACCTGGCCGTGAAAACAGGACGCAAATTAGGAGTCCCACGGCCGGGAAATCCTGATAGCGACAAAGTGCATTACAATACGTGTAACACAAGGAACAATTTTAAGGCGGACGAGATTAGACGGTTTACATTTTTAAGAAGGAAAAGGAAGCAAGCAGCGGGCCCTCGCCGTCGCCCCGTGCCCTCGGGCATCCTGCGGCCTCCGGCCGGCGCCCGCCAGCCCCGCCGCGCGCCGAGCCCACACCTGCGCAGGTCGCTCTGCCGCCCGCCCGCGGGGGCCGGGGAGGCGAGCGCTGCGGAGCGCAGGCTGCGCGGCCG